AACAAACCTAGACAAACACATGATAAACGATTTAGATGTGTGGTCTGAATCAAGTTCTATGTGAACAGCTTTAGAGGCAAAACAAACAAATATGGCAATATTCACATGGCTGGCTTATAACGAAAGCAATGTACACACTGCCGTAGAATGCTATTACACGCTTGACGAGCATTCACCAACCAAATTTGACGCCGAAGAATAGCCTGAATTACAATTTGAACTATGCAAATATTGTAGATATATTTTAACGATTACGATAACGATATTTTTCCCTTTGCTCATGCCAAAAGATAGCCGTTTGGCATGAGCAACGGGAAAACAAACGACCGCCAAGTCTAAGTAGCCACCACACATGCTTGCCATCTTGATGAGGATATAAAAATGGGTTAAGTTTCTAAAAACACGGTTGTAAAGTCAAGGATTTATTTAGCCTTGCAATTTCATTCGCGATCTCGATTCGCTGCAATGCAGACACTACTGCTAAAAACGCTGAACTCAGTTCTTCCGCTGATGGCACGAGTGAAGTCTGTTTGTGTGATTTTCCATTGATAAATCGGAGCATATATGATACGATGCGCAGAATTTTTAAATATGATGAAGATTTGTCAACGAGGTCCAAAAAGGATTATCCAGTGCATCGGCCGCGATCAAGACTGTGGCATTCTTCCGCATCCTTAACACAGAGAGCTCTTTGGGGTGTTCAAGGTGGCATTTTACTGGCCAAGAGGCGGGGCTCTCCTTTAAGAAGTTTGAGCCAGTAAACCAAATTGATTCCATGAGCTCACTAGTTGAGCAGCCACGTGAAAGGATGTCCGCTGGATTCGCGTTGGTAGGGACATGACGCCAGACAGCTTGCGAAGTCAACTCTTGAATTTCTGCTTCGGGTGCTTATTGATCCAATACAGCACTACCTCAGAGTCCGGCCACAAAAAAACGTCGTCCACTGGTGTGTTCAACAGATCCCTGATTTCACTCCATAACTTCGCCAGTAAGTGAGCAGCGCAGAGTTCCAACCGAGGCACAGACTTGGTTTTGAGAGATGCCACTCTCGACTTTGCTGTGAGCAATCGCGTAAACGTTCCATTCCGACGCTCCACTCTCACGTAAATCCAGCAGCCGTATGCTCTCTTTGACGCATCGACGAATCCGTGAACTTGGTATTTTATATTTTTTCTAATTGCAATATGACGAGGTATGTTGAGTGAGTCTAGATTTGAGAAGCAATTAGTCACCGATTTTAATTGCTCAATTAGATCTGTGGGCAATGCTTCATCCCAATCTAACTTATGCAGCCAGATTTCTTGAATGAGAATTTTTGCACGAGTAACAATTGGACACTGTAATCCAAGTGGGTCATACAAACGTGCCACAAACGATAATATAGACCTCTTAGTCGGTACAAAATCGAGTGAAAGATGGTCTGCGGAGTATTTGAACACATTACTTCTGGGATTCCAAATTAAATCCAAAATTTTGGTGTCTTCTTGCGACCCAATTGTAAAGGACGCATCAGAAACTTGGAATTGTTGGCAGTTTGAAGACCATTTGGCTAAACCAAATCCAAATGGTTTTAATACAGAGTCCAACTCCTGCTGCAATAACCCTAATTCCTCTGGCGTTTCTGCTCCCGCTAATAAATCATCGACATAAAAATCATTCGCAAGTGATTTCGATGCTAATTTATGCGATGTTGCGTGTATGTCACTCAAATATTTCAGGCACCGGATAGCAATAAAAGGTGCTGACGCAGTGCCGTATGTAACCGTGTTCAATTGATATATTTGTAATTGATCTTTCGGGTTTTCTCTCCAGAGGATTAATTGAAAACATCTCTGGGTCTCGTCAATTTCCACTTGACGGTACATCTTAGTGATGTCTGCAGTAATTGCGTAAGGATTCAATCGAAAACGAAGCAAAGTTGCGTAGAGAGATGGTTGTATCGTTGGACCAACCATAAGCGTGTCATTGAGCGACATTTGTGATGACGTTTCGCTTGACGCATCGAAAACGACTCGCAACTTTGTTGAAGAGCTTTGCGGTCTGAGCACACACTGGTATGGGATGAAATAATGTGGCTCACTCGGGACTGTGTTACTGATTGCACTCATATGACCAAGTGAAATGTATTCTTTCATTAAAGAAATATACATGTCTCGGACCTCCGCTTGTTTTTCCATTCGCCTCTCCAGGCCAAGAAATCGCCTCTTAGCTGTCTCAAAGGACGAGCCAAGACAAGTCGGACTAGATTTAAACAGCAATTTAACACTTAGCCTGCTCGAAGGTAATCTGTTCACAGATTCAGTGAACGATTGCTCGCAAAGAAGCTTTGGAGCTTGCTCCAACTCCCAGAACTTTTTAACCATTGAGTCTAACGACGATTCACCAGTTGTACTTAATAACGACGTTAAGCAAGCATTTGCATCTGGTGGGGCTTTACAACGACCAGACACGATCCAAGCAAAAACTGTTTCACGTAAAGTTAAAGTTATTTAAACACGTAGGAATAAATTTACGCCAACACTGCTTTTCACATGGCCAACAATATGTCAGGTTGTCAAAATCAGGTTGCCGAGAAAATCAATGCTGCCATCAGAAAATGAAACAAAAAATATAATTTAAGCAGAAGTTTATTAAAAACAAAAATTGACCCGGACGAAAATCAAGACGATGCCCAAAATCACTATTCCATGCGGACAAAGTCGCGGGAACAGCTAGTATGGAATATATTGAATAAAAAAAGATAACATCATTGTTTTTTTTTTCATACAAGCAACTTCATAAAAATCTGACGAATGTATTATATAGCTGTCATATTAACAATCGCCGAAAAAATAAAAAAATTAGCAACCGAGGCAAACGTAAATAATTTTTAGATAAAAACATACATTTCTGGAGAAGTCACATTTTTTCGAGGGTTTTTTTTTTTCGTGGAGCAGACCTTTTTTCGAGAAATATAAATATTCTGGAGAGGCCACAGTTTTTTGATCAACACAGTTAATTTCTGAAGAACACCATATTTCTGGAGGAACCCATATATATTTTTGAAGAAATTATAACCTTTTCGGAGAGGAACAGCGTTTGGAGGAACATTTTTGAAGAACCACGGCATCTAAGCAAAAGTCGACCCTCTAGGACTCCAGATCTCCGGTGAGTCCGTTCCGTGTCGGGGTGCCTCCGATAGTGGCCAACTTATGCGCGAACGGCTGGTACCACAAGGTTCGCCAGCCAGTCTCTATACGCCTCCGAGTTCCTTGTGGTGCAATACTCTGGTGGGCTGAGCCCACCCCCCACTTCCTGAAATTGAGAAAAATCAATTAATAAAATGTATAGTTTTTAAGAATTTAAATACCTTGTATTGTTAAGTCTATTGTGCGTTCGTCCAAAGATTCACCCTTGACCGACGGTTGCTAAAATAAAAGGGTCGCGATTAATTAGGATGAAGGAATAGTGTGTGTAAATCTCCCATACCTTTCGGCGTCCCTTCTTTTCCCTTGGAGCTCCTCAGGATTAGGTGACCTAAATTTAAGCCGCGTTAACAAGAGAGTTCTGCCGATACAAGGGTGGCAGAACATTTCGGTGAGTGTCCATTTCTTAGTTCTTGAATTTATCTTTGACCGCTAAATACTTATACGGCGGTTGAGAGTTAATTCTAGGGCCTAATGAACAAATAGATTTTACTTGAATTAATTGGAAGCGAAATGTTATATATTCATGAACCTGAAGTATTAAAGACCAGTTTATAACGATGAGTGAGTAGACCTTTTTCTGTGGGGGAGATGGAGTTAAGTTAGTCGCCTGGAGTGACTTGTTGACCCATTATGGGGGATGCGGGGATTATACTTACCTAGTATCCTAGGTTGGGTGGGTACGCAGTGGCCAAGAACACCGATGGCCACCAAAGATTCAAATTTTCCGCCGCCTTGTATTTCAATGTTTACGTTTTTGCTTTGTTTACATTTTGTTAGTGATCGCAGAGAGTTTAGTGTTGTGAGACGACCGTAATCGATGTTAGTATTTTATGTTGTCGGACTGCGGGCATTGGGGAGAACTTGGCTCAGATGAGATCGCTGAGCTAGCGGCACTGCCCACCTAAGAAAGCAGTTCGTAACATAGTGGCGCCCAATTATATAAAAATAAATATATACATGGTCGAGGCGACAACGTCTCCGAGGAGTTGACTTAGTTGGCCAGTCTTTCGGAACGGTGGCTTGCAAGGAAGTTGCAATTGCATCGGGATGGGGGACTGACGAACTAAGGAGAAGCTTAGGAGAACGAGAGGCTTGTCCGGAATTATCCTGGCCAATTGCTCTCGGTCTCCGGTAAAAATATTAAGCTGTGATACATAAACAAATAGTCTCATTTTTTTTGTCGTTTTTTTTTTTGTCACATTAATTTATTTATTTATATATTTTTTTTTGTCAGTGTGAATTCGAGGTTGGATTCCTGGGTTTTCTTCCTCCTGTGGCTTTCCAATTTCCTGTCGGTTAGCTAACTTAATTGGTACTCGTGGCCCGTGGTACCACACGCGATGCACGAGTCCCTCGATTTGCGATGGAAACCGCAGTTGAGGAGGAAGACCAACAGCAGTCCAGGAGCAGCCGATGTCTTTAACTGGCGGCTATCACTTAAAGTGATAGCTAGACCAGTTGATGAGCGGCTGCGAGAGGGTCGGAAATTTCGAGGATTTTTGGGCAATGCGTAGTATTAAAGGGTCGGAAGTCCACCGGCGACGAGTGATTCCATCTCCCCACAGTATTAGCTAAAATAAAAGAATAGAAACAATTAGTTTATCTGGTGGCTCGAAGAGTTAAATATTTAGTGCACTTTTTTTTTTTGGTATTTATGGTTATTTATTTCAGGTTATTTATTCGGTCGTTTCATGATTTATTTATTAATTTATTGTTATTTATTGCATTATTTATTTTGTCATTATTTATTTATTTCGTTATTTGTTTATTTATTTATTTATATTCTTAATATTAATTTTTGTCGCGGTGATATCTCTGTTTATTTATATATTCCTTTTGTGGTATTAGTATAGGAAGTATTTATTTTTTTTTTTTGTAAGTGATGCCCAAGGATAGGTATTTTGGGAGTAGGCACGACCACCAGTTGAGGTCGATGGGTCCTCCTGGAGAAGAGGATGACGCGCTTTGGTCTACTGATGTAGAGGGTGCTGCAGGGGGAGAGCGCTGGAGGGTTGCCGAGGACGCCAGTGGAGCAATTTCGGAAACGGATCCGGGATGTTGATCCCGCTATACAGAAGGATTCCCGGAAACACTTGAATTTTGCCGACTTGGGTCTGGTCGCAGAGCAACTCCTCGAGCTGGGCGACGAGAACTCGGCGAAATCACGGCTCGGTTTGGAGGAGAAGTCCGCGACAAACTTGGCGGTAGCACAGGCGGCAGAGACCTATCAGAAGGCGCAGGAGGCCGGAGTCAGCCAGTCATTGAGGGAGGAAATCCGAAGCGGTTTCCTCGAGATGATGAAGCTCCTCAACGATGTGATCAGGCCAGAAAATCCTCTGCCTCTTCCGGCGACACAGCAGCAAGTGGATCGGCAGCAACAACCAGCAGCAGCAGAAGCGTCAGCGCAGCAGAAGCAGGGTGCCATCCCGAAAGCAGACCGTGTCGTCCGCCTCCACTGGTTCCGCCAAAGCCACAGCGAAGAGCAGAGACAACGTCGGAGTGGACCAGCAGCAGTCCGGATTATCCGCTGGAGATCGAGCAGCACAGGCGGCAGGACAGCCATGGGCGAGGCTAGCGCGTCGAGGACCACAGGGCCGGAGTGTATCCTGACGAGCATCGGATGCCCACGTTGGCGTGTGGGCACTGGGTGCAGCAGCCGTTATCCAAAGGTGGATCGGTGTAACGTCTCGTTCGGTGGAGACGACGAGAGGAATTCGGTGGAGGATTTCGTTTTCCGAATTGAATTCCTGCAGCGATAGCACCAGTGTCCATGGCAAGAGGTTCTGCGACATTTCCACGTTTTCCTCACCGGCCGAACCAAGGAGTGGTATTGGGTCCATGTGCGACAATCCAGAGTCGACAGTTGGCTGCAGCTGCGCCGAGCCCTTATCGATCGATTTAGAGGGCACCAGACCGAGCATGACCGGATGCACGAGCTCCTGCAGCGGGAGCAGCAGCCGGGAGAGACGGTGGAGGACTTCATCCACTGTATGCACAGCTCGCCTCACGCCTAAAAAAACCAATGCCGGAGCGGCAGTTGGTGAAGGTGATTAAAAAAGGCTTAAGGGATGGCGTTGCGCGCTTTGTTTACGCGATGGAAATATTTACCGTGGACGAATTGCGGCAGGAGTGCATAGAGGTGGAACGCAGTTTCGGTCGCCGAGGACACACCTCGTACCACCCACCATTGCGTCATCCGCCAGGGGATAGACCCCGAGTGGCCGAAGCTTGCGTACCGGAGCCTCTGGAGGATGCATACGCCTTCGACGTGGATGAATTGCGTGGACGACCTCGAAATCCATTCCGGACGGGTTGCTGAAACTGCGGTGCCGCTGATCACGGATTCCGTGATTGCGAGTCCGTGGATCGCAAGCTGTTTTGCTACAGATGTGGCCGACCAGACACAGTCTTGCCAAAGTGTCCCGACTGCGCGGCAGACTGAGCGATCCGAAGGCAGGAGGGAATCGTCCAGAGAGGAATCCTGCGAAGTAGTGACTAAGGAGAACAAATTAGTTAGCCCACCTAGTAGCTTTAAGATCGACTTAAGATACTTACCAGCTGAGGAGAGGCTGCGTCGCTATCTGGAATCTCGAAACCGAATTTTCGCAGAGCACCAGCTGAGTGGCATGCGAATGGTTTCTCGCAAAGTCCAGAAGCCGAGAAAACGTTTCAAGATCCGGAGAACCCGACGACGAAAAGTGGTGGCGGCAGTAAAACGCGTTGACTCACGCGATCCTCGACCTTTCGCAGACGTCAAGGTTTTTGGCCAGCCAATCAACGGCTTGCTGGACACGGGTGCCAGTGTCAGCTTGCTAGGCAAAGGTTGCAGAGGTCGTGTAGAGGCGTTGGGCGTGGCTGTCCAGCCCTATTTGTCGAAGGTGACGACGGCTGCTGGAGAAGATTGGTCTATTATTGGACGAGTTGAGCTGCCTGTGGAGTACAAAAGGATGAGCAAGGTGATAACATTTTATCTCTGCCCATACCTAGAACAGGAAGCGTACTTTGGAGTTGATTTTTGGCGAACGTTTGGTCTTGCTCCAGCAGTCGTAGGAGTGCCCGTACCCAGCGGTGGAAAGAAAGCGGAGGAAATCCATGCCAGGCAGATGGAGCACTACGCCGAACACGAAGACGAGGACGAGACGAGGGAGGATCCCGAGTCATGAAGCCTTTCTGTGGAGGAGAAGGAGGCTTTAGAGAAAGTCAAAGGGGAGTTTCTTACCTTCGAGCGAGACGGTCTTGGCACTACCAGCCTGGAGCGACACTCCATCGAATTGGTTGAAGGAGCCCGAGTGTTCAAGGACCGGCCCTATCCGATGTCTCCAGCGAAGCAGAAAGTGGTCGAGAACGAGATCGACAAGATGCTCGAGCTGGGAGTCATTGAGGAGAGTAAGAGCCCCTGGAGTAATCGCACGACGGTAGTGTCGAAGCCCGGGAGGGATCGATTTTGTCTAGATGCCAGGAAGCTCAATGCCTTGACAGTGAAGGACGCCTATCATCGATGGCATCCTTTCGCGAATTGACCAGACCCATTACATCTCCAGCGTAGATCTAAAGTTCGCTTTTTGGCAGATCGAGCTCGATGACCGCAGCAAGGAGAACACCGCATTTACAGTCCCAGGCAGGCCGTTGTATCATTTCCGAATGATGCCTTTCGGATTGTGCAACGCAGCGCAACGTCTGGTGCGGCTGATGAACAGGGTGATTCCAGTGGAGCTGAGAACCAACGTTTTCGTTTATCTCGACGATCTGCTCATCCTGGCTCCAGATTTTCAGACGCATTTGGAATACTTGGGTCGCGTAGCAAGGAGTCTGAAATCGGCGGGATTGACAATTGGGCTGAAGAAGTCTAAGTTCTGCTTTAAATCATTGACTTACCTTGGTTTCGTAGTTGAAGGTGGAACGCTGCGAATGGACCCTGGACGTGTTTCCGCGATCCAGAAGATTCCTTACCCAACGTCCATGAAGGACGTGCGAGCTTTCCTTGGCACAGCGGGATGGTATCGTCGCTTCGTCAGCAATTTCGCTACGCTAGCGGCTCCTCTTACCGAGTCCTTGAAGAAGTCGGGAAACCTCAAGTTTTCTTTAAGTCCCAGCGCCAAGCAGGCGTTTAACGACCTGAAGTTGGCCCTGACGATTGCGCCAGTCCTGGTTCACGCGGATTTTAAGAAACATTTCTATATCCAATGCGATAACTCCCACGTCGGAGTAGGCGCAGTGCTGTTTCAGCGGAACCAGGACGGGGCAGAACAGGCCCGGCCAAAATGAACAGACACCAGGTCAACTACACGGTGACGGAAAAGGAGTGCCTAGCAGCCATCCTAGCCATTCAGGTCGTATATCGCAAGTCTGAAATGGCTGATAACAATGAGGGATCTATCCGGACGGCTTGCCAGATGGTCTCTGCAACTTCAGGGCTACATTGAGCATCGCAAGGGCAGTGAGAACGTGGTTGCCGATACGCTGTCCCGATGCGTTGAAGAAGTCCGGATAGATCCTACAGAGTTGTTGGGTTTCGAGACCACGGAGTTTGCTGCGGAGGATTACGTGGAGTTAGTTCGGGAAGTGGAGACGAACCAAAAGGACTTACCTGATCTAAAGGTCGCGGATGGATTTGTTTTCAAGCTCATGAAAGCCCCGAGTCTGGATGAGGAACTGGACGGATCTGAGTGGAAGCTGTGGATCCCACAAAGCTTGACGCACAGCTTGATAGAGCGTGCCCATTCAGATCCCAAGGCAGGCCATGGTGGAATGAGCAAGACGTTAGATCTTCTGAGACGCCAATTCTATTGGCCGGGTATGACCATCCAGGTGCGTGAATTCGTCCGCGGTTGTACCGTGTGTAAGGAGGCAAAGGCACCGAACTACAGGATGCAGGTTGGGATCGGGCAGATGGTAGAGACGGAAAGACCATTCCAGAAACTCTACATCGACTTCCTGGGGAAGTATCCGAGGTCCAAAAATGGTCACGCCTGGATCTTCATCGTGGTAGACCATTTTTCCAAGTATATCTTCCTCAAAACCATGCGAACAGCGACAGTGCCGAATGTAATCGATTTCCTAGTGAACGAAATTTTTTATAAATTTGGGGTACCGGAAACGTCCATTCGGACAATGGAAAACAATTCACCTCGAAGGCATTCGAAGAGCTGATGGATGGTTTTGGCATTCACCACATCCGGACTCCGGTATACTCACCCCAGAGTAACGCAGCGGAGAGAGTAAATCGAAACGTGCTAGCTGCGATTCGGAGCTACCTGGAGGAGAACCATCATGAGTGGGACGTGCACCTGCCGGAGATCGAAATGGCCATCCGGAACTCTGTCCACTGGACTACGGAAGAGGCACCGTTTTTCACTGTTTTTGGACATCACATGTTTCTCAACGGCGCCTGTTACAAACTCGCCAGAAGACTTAGGTCTTTGTGTGACCATGAGATGGCCGGGATGCAGGCCAAAGACAAGTTGCAGGTAATTCGTGATAAAGTGCAGAAGCAGCTTGCAGACGCGTATGAGGCAAGCCATCAACGCTACGACAAACGATCCCGCACGCTAATCGCCAAGCCTGGTCAGGAAGTCTTCCGCAGGAACTTCGTCTTGAGCGACTTTGGCAAGGCGTTCAACGCAAAGTTCGCCCGAAAATTCCTGAAGGCGAGGGTGGTCAAATCCGTTGGCGGTAACGCCTATTTGCTGGAAGATCTGCAGGGGGTGTACCATGCCAAGGACATCCGGCTGTGATCTACAACGGGTACACAAAGTACATATACAAACGCATGAAAACCAAACATCAATACTTCCCGTCAAGCGTGGGCCCCGCGTAGGGCGCCGTACGAACTGCTCGAAACACCAGAGTACGCGTATTCCTGGCCTCCTCCAAAGCTACCAAGCATTTCGTCGTTCCGCAAAACCTCGTTGTAGCACCTCTCGAAATCCTTGGTTGATGTTGCAGTTGGAGTCGGTTCCAGGAGGACGTTATCGATATTTTAGAACAGGCAGTGATGGTTAGGGCAGCGCCCCTTTTGGGCCATAAACAAGTTATTCATGTAGAATGTAAAATCGCAATCCCGACTTAGGGATTCTCTTAGGGTGTCCATTGACCCATCTTAGAGAGAGGCTGGGGATGGCGGGAGAGAGAGAGTTGGAGTTTTTTTTGTGTAATTTTTCTTTTGGAAATTTAAATGTTTATTTTGTTTAGGGAAACCGGGGTCCCACAATAAAGGGCCCCGGGATTTTTTTTTGGCGAGGAATACATTTCAGGAGAATTCACATTTTTTCGAGGGTTATTTTTCGTCAAAGAAAATATAACCTTTTTGTGGAGCAGACCTTTTTTCGAGAAATATAAATATTCTGGAGAGGCCACAGTTTTTTGATCAACACAGTTAATTTCTGAAGAACACCATATTTCTGGAGGAACCCATATATATTTTTGAAGAAATTATAACCTTTTCGGAGAGGAACAGCGTTTGGAGGAACATTTTTGAAGAACCACGGCATCTAAGCATAAGTCGACCCTCTAGGACTCCAGATCTCCGGTGAGTCCGTTCCGTGTCGGGGTGCCTCCGATAGTGGCCAACTTATGCGCGAACGGCTGGTACCACGAGGTTCGCCAGCCAGTCTCTATACGCCTCCAAGTTTCTTTGTTGTGCAATACTCTGGTGGGCTGAGCTCACCCCCCACTTCCTGAAATTGAGAAAAATCAATTAATAAAATGTATAGTTTTTAAGAATTTAAATACCTTGTATTGTTAAGTCTATTGTGCGTTCGTCCAAAGATTCACCCTTGACCGACGGTTGCTAAAATAAAAGGGTCGCGATTAATTAGGATGAAGGAATAGTGTGTGTAAATCTCCCATACCTTTCGGCGTCCCTTCTTTTCCCTTGGAGCTTCTCAGGATTAGGTGACCTAAATTTAAGCCGCGTTAACAAGAGAGTTCTGCCGATACAAGGGTGGCAGAACATTTCGGTGAGTGTCCATTTCTTAGTTCTTGAATTTATCTTTGACCGCTAAATACTTATACGGCGGTTGAGAGTTAATTCTAAGGCCTAATGAACAAATAGATTTTACTTGAATTAATTGGAAGCGAAATGTTATATATTCATGAACTTACCTGAAGTATTAAAGACCAGTTTATAACGATGAGTGAGTAGACCTTTTTCTGTGGGGAAGATGGAGTTAAGTTAGTCGCCTGGAGTGACTTGTTGACCCATTATGGGGGATGCGGGGATTATACTTACCTAGCATCCTAGGTTGGGTGGGTACGCAGTGGCCAAGAACACCGATGGCCACCAAAGATTCAAATTTTCCGCCGCCTTGTATTTCAATGTTTACGTTTTTGCTTTGTTTACATTTTGTTAGTGATCGCAGAGAGTTTAGCGTTGTGAGACGACCGTAATCGATGTTAGTATTTTATGTTGTCGGACTGCGGGCATTGGGGAGAACTTGGCCCAGATGAGATCGCTGAGCTAGCGGCACTTCCCACCCAAGAAAGCAGTTCGTAACAATAGTTTTATTTCATAAATCTGGAAATCTAAACGGTCTGAGCTTATATTTTTGTTTGAAACCAATGTGAAAAACAAAGTTATAGAGGGCGAACGAGAATACGCACGGTAAATTAACGGGACATCGGTAGACCTAGGACCCGATCAAGGAAGTTGGTTGAAGACGGAGAACTAGACCAACAAAGGCGATATAAGGAGGACACACGCTGAGAAAAAGACAGTTAAAAGAAATTTATACGAGTAAGCAGTAAAGTCAAACCAAATGCCCGGTGCCAGATGGCTAAAGATTGCAAAGTCTGGACCCTGAACGACGGAGGCATGTCTACAAGGCTGAAATCTGGAAACATGCTAGGTTTGGTGTTGGGGAAGTGTGACGAGTTTAAGTACGAAGAAGAAGTCTTGGTGTGTAGCAAAATTAATTTCTCTGAACTAAAGCAAGAAAAAAAAAGAGAAATTTGCACAAGCTGAAGCCTCAGCTATAGGAACGAAATATTAAACCTAGAATACTTCCATTTTTTATGAGTCCATAATACCTTCCAAAACTTGTATAGTAAGGCTTTAGATAACCAGCATGTAAAATAGGTTTTTTTTACTTCGGGATATATACAGTGAAGTTATTGTATTTATTGGAAAGGTTCTTATGAGTTAGATCCCCAATCTTAAACTGACTTTACAAAATGCATTATTCTTATAACTATGGCTTCTACCGGTGACAGCGACGCGGGCAGCAAAAGTGGACTTTGATTTGTAAACACCTTTTTAGTCTTTTTCTTTTAAAAATTCAAATTCACGTCTTGTTCGCTTCTCTGTTCTTTATTAAGTGACCTTATTCTCGATCACTCTTCTTATACATCGATTACTCTTCTTATACTATTCTTATATCTATCGATATTTGCCATACTTAGTATTTAAAATAATACAATGTTTACATTCGGCTAACCTGACTATAAGATCGACCTCGATCTACAATAGTAATGCTATAGTATAGTTTACAGCGTTTGTCCAATGTTTCAATCTGGCAGGTTCTAATAAACTCTTAAATGGTAATTGTGTTAATTGACAATCATCGACATCAACAATTTCATAACGGTCATTAGCAAATACTCTATTTACTTTATACGGGCCACGATACTTAGGTGCAAATTTCTTATTTATTCCAGGTGTTGTATCAATATTACGTATAGCTACGAAATCTCCAACTTTATATTCTAATGGGGCTTTATGTTTCTTTTTATAATACTGTTCATTCTTATATTGTGACTGCAGGATATTCTTATTAGCATCTGAACGAATTGTACCTAGATCTTGCTGCTCTAAATTAAACTTTTCCTCGATATATTCTGTCAATTCATCTACTATGGGGCCCTTTTGTGGGACACCAAATAATAACATACTGGGAGATTTTTGAGTGCTACTATGAATAGAGTTATTAATTGCGAATTCTACTTTGCTTAATAATTTATACCAATCTGCTTGCTCTATTGGCTCAGATAATTTACCTAACATAGGAGTTAAAATTCTGTTCACCCTTTCCACTTGCCCATTGGCCTGAGGTGCACCTGTGGCCACCTTAATATGCTCTATGTCACGCTCTTAAAGGATTGTTGAAAATTCTAGAGAGTTAAAACAAGATCCTCGGTCCGAAATAATTCGTTTAGGGCGGCTATAAAATTTAAAATACCTGCTAAGTGAATCCTTGGCTTCCCGAGAACTAGTGCTGTTTACTGGGAATAATTTAACAAATTTTGTAAATGAGTCAATGACTACAAGAAGGTGTTTTCTTTTTGATTGTATGTTTGGCAAAGGTCCTAAATGATCTATATGTAAACTATGGAAGGGTATACATGGTTTTGGAATACTAAGCAGTGTGCGATTATGAATAGTCTTCGGTACTGAGTGTAATATACATGGTAAACAATTTCTTATAAAATTTGTTACTTTGCTTTTCATAGCTGGGAACCAATAGTTTTTCTTTAAATCATTCATACATTTTTCAGCAGCTAGGTGACCTAATTTTTCATGTGATAATCTAATTATTTGTTCTTCCATGCATTTTGGGACATACAGACATAAAGATTCATCACTGTTATTTTTATAAATAACGCCATCTAGTAATTCAAACGAAGTACAATTTCCTTCTTCTACGGCTGTTCGTATTTTAACTATCTCAGGGTCACGCATCTGCTCAGTTTACAGTATCAGGTCAACATCCCTAGGAGTTGCTCCTACCACCCCCACTACTTTAATCAACTCTAATATGGATTTTTCTCGAAATTCTAATTTACTTGATAGTTTTCCAATTCCAATGACCATCTCGCTATCTTAGGGTTTATGGCTTTCCTGCTCAATGTCTGCACTAACGAATTGCAATCTGTCACAATCTTAAAATGCCTATGCTCCAAATAGACTCTAAATCGACGTAGTGCATTAATAATCGCTAGGGTTTCCAATTCGAAGCTATGATACCTAGCTTCAGCTGCATTAGTTTTCCCCGAATAGAATAATACTGGATGCATCTTGCCATCATCTTGTCTCTGCATGAGAACGGCACCAAAGCCATGTGAGCTTGCATCTGTATGCAGTTCAGTCTCACGTTTAGGATTAAAGATGGCCAATACTGGTGGATTTGATAAAATGGTCTTTAACAAGTTAAACGCTCTTAATTGTTCTTCATTTAAGGGGAATGGACCACCTCCGTAAGAGGTTTCCCTATTTTTGCAAAGGATAACACAAAACGCATAAAATATGAGAAAAATCCTAAGCATGAATGAAGGGTGTTCAAGTTTTGTGGTATAGGGAAATTTTTTAATGCATCAAGGTGCGCTTCACTAGGTGTTATCCCACTACGGTTGACTTTATAGCCAAGGAATTCACATTCAGGTTTTAAAAAGTTGCATTTTTTTTAGGTTAATCTCTAAATTGTTTTCACTAATACGATTTAATAACTTCTTCAAGATCTCTAAATGTTCCTCTACGGTTTTAGTTGCTATCACTATGTCATCCATATACACTACTATAAGCTTGTTCGGAATAAAGTCCATTAATACTTCTGTAATAAATCTTTGAAAAATGGCTGATCCGTTTTTTAAACCAAATGGCATTTTTAAATACTCATATTGTCCCTGAGGAGTTACAAATGAGGTATACGGAATACTTTGTGAATCTACACCTATCTGGTGGAAACCACTCTTGAAATCTATTATTGAGAAACATATCTTGCCTTCCAGGTATTCTAAACAATCTTCAATCAACGGTAATGGGAAATTATCTTTAACTATTCGCTTATTCAATCCTCTATAATCTACGCACATTCTAGTCTCGCCCGATTTCTTTTTAACCAAAACTATGGGAGACGCATAAGGAGATTTACTATTCCTAATTATATTTTTCTCAAGAAGATCATCAATTATTTCCGCTACTTTCTCTTTTTCATAATATGACAGACGCCTGGGTGAACAATGGAATGGTGTTGTATCTGTAACCCTAATGGTCATCTGGTAAATAGGTACTTTCTTATAATCGACATTTTTGCTTAAATAATGTGTTTTTACTACTTTCCTACATTTTTCTTTGGCTATTTTTCCGAATTCATACCCTATGCTAATTAACTCGTCTACATTTTCTTCCGTATATGCTAAGTATTTACTAAAAAATTTTCTAATTCTAGTTGATTATTTTGGATATTTCTTTGGTTTACTTCTTGATTATTCTGATTACTTAAATTACTATCCTTATTATAATTGGTTATATGTTTACTGGTGAAAAGAGATGCACAAAATGAGTTATTATTGTAATTATTTTTTATTTTATTTGAAAATTTATATTCAGCATTTATTCGTTTTTTATGTATTAATTGGACGTCCATGATTTTTAATGAATCTCGGCCCAATAGAGTTGGCAGTGGTAATAATGTATCTTCTACAACTAAAACTAAAAATGCAATTTTATAAGCTTTATCATGAAAATATATACAGCATATAATTTCTCCAAAAATTAATATTTGTTGCCCACCTATACCGTGGTATTTGCTTCTATGCGATTTAAATTTAACATTATTTGGAATTAATGATTTTTGAATAAAGCTGACTGGACTTCCTGTGTCAAACAAACTTAAAACAGTAATACATCTCTCTTCACCCTCAAAAAGTCATAACTTAACAGACTGAACAGCCGCTAGGTCCTCGGTGTCCTCCAGTTCGTCATCTTGCACGGCAGCTACCGTAGTAACAGCTCTCTTCTTTGGGCAGTCCTGATACTTGTGGTCCTGGCTATAGCAGTTGAAACAGGCGCCTTCCGGTCTTTTTGGGCGTCTGCACTCGTTCATCAAATGCCCCATTTTTCTGCAATTGAAGCACCGCGCTGCCATAGGTCCTTGCTGAGGGATTGCCGTATTGGTCATCTTCACTTTGCTGGTGTCGGAGTCCCGACGGGTTATAAGCTGATCTGGAGTCTTTATTTTATCGTAGATGGTGATCTTTTTACGCAATTCGTCCAAGGACTCGCAAAAGGCTAAGGCAGTAGCAGCTCCGGTCTTGTCTTGAAGCCCACTCACAATTGCGCGAATGACGTCAGAGTCTGCCAAAATTGCTTGCTTGGAGATACCACACATAGCGATGTAATACTGGATTGCGCTTTCATTTGGAGATTTATTTTTAGCTTCCAATTGTTTGATTACGTCCCACGCCGTCATTTTCTTTTCGAAGACCGTTAGCAGCTCCTGCGCAGGGCAGTCCATGTCATCGGGTTAATATGGATCATCTGTTGTATTGGGTAGCCATCGTCTCCTGAAAAGCAATTCACCAAGGCTTCAACATCTTTGATATCGATGTCATCACTTTTACTTGCTCTTTTTGATCCTCCTTCCAGCAGCTGCACTTCCGCTTCAAGCTCGGCAACACGCTTGCGAGCTATATATAGGTTCTCCAATTTTTTTAAGTGTTGAATTTCCAACTGCACACACTCTGCTTCTCGCGAAAATCCTTGCATCTGCTTGTTCCGAAGGCCATTCTCGGTAATTTCATCATCTTTATAAAGTTCGCCGGAACTTTGCGCCAGACTGTCGCCCGATGCCACACTATATTCATCTCTCTCTTCCTCACGGACATCCTCGTTGGCGCCGGTTTCAGAAATGGCATTCTCAAGAATTACGTTCTTTACTTCATCACTTTCCACGGGTGCACTCTCGCCGTCGCCGGTCACAATTATTAAACTATCAGTTTTCATCGTATTATTAAGCTCCACAAGGTCTTTCTCTATGTTTGTCGCTACGGATTTTTCATTCATTATAATTTTTACAGCGCTGCGCAGCCGTCCGATCGTTGCGTCTTCGCCGAAACACACGCCGTTTTTCTTCAAAATGTTAATCAATTCAGGCTTAGATTTCTTCAGGATATCACTATATTTCATTGCAGTTCCTCTTCACTATCTTTCTTGGGCTATACCCCATACCTGATTTTGTAAACACCTTTTTAGTCTTTTTCTTTTAAAAATTCAAATTCACGTCTTGTTCGCTTCTCTGTTCTTTATTAAGTGACCTTATTCTCGATCACTCTTCTTATACATCGATTACTCTTCTTATACTATTCTTATATCTATCGATATTTGCCATACTTAGTATTTAAAATAATACAATGTTTACAGATTAGAGAATTTTTATTGGTCAAAAATGTGGCCTGATGAAATAGTTTCTAGGCTGCATCTTTTGTTTAATTAATTTGGATTGGCCAAAGCTTTTATGCTGACGAATGGGTTCTCAGGCTGGACCCTTTGTTTAGGGTTCTGAATATTGTTTATGTCTGCTGTCGTCGATAAAGGCGTTTGAAGTGTTTACAATTCAGGTGGCGCCGATCGAAGGCGTGGGAAATATTTATGTCTGACGAATTAAATGTTTATGTCGGGATTGATTTGAATAACTGCAATAGTAGGCTCTGGACTTATGTTATTGACAATTGGGTATATGGGTATATCTGGGTATACAGGTTGTATGTTGGGTTTGGTAGCTAGGGTATTTGCGTATACGTTTATAGTAGGCTGTGGACTTATGTTATTAGTAACTGGATTTACGTATACGTCACTTGTATACAAAAATATTTAGCCCTTAATGGCGTTAAGCCAGTGGAAATGCTTTTACAGTTATTTAATCACGATGAAAGCCAATTCACGGTAAAAAACTTGTGGAACAAAATATAATATGATATGATTTATAATTACATTATTATTATTATATTATATTAAACGCTGTTGCGAATCTTAACGAGTCCCAGCCATATAACTAGAACTATTCCAATCAATGAGGAGCCGGTTTTTTCCAGGCAGAGTCGGATTTTGTCGACACAGAAGTAAAGCAACTTTGACACCACTATTAGGCCTTAAAATCACAATATTTCGGTCGTAGACAACAAGAGAAAGTGACTTGGATTTAATTTAGTTAAAGATTAAAGTAACACTTTTAAATTTAACAAAGGCCCAGTGTTTACATCATTGGACTTGAAATCGGGACCCCACTAGAATAAGCTGATGGTTAAACAATATAAAGTACTCTTTCTCTAGTCTTCCCTCGCGCTTAGAGGATTATTGAGGGCGTCTTAAGAGAGGAATGATTTATAACATGACATAAATGACGTTATTATTTTATCTGAAATGAAAAGATTACATCTAAAATTTTGATTAAAGTTGAGAAAAGCAGCGGAGCACCTTAACAATACCGTACCAACGATCGCAGTTGTAATTCAGAGTACACCAACTAAAGGTGGAAGAAAAAACCTTAACCGTGCCACAAAAAATAACAACTACACATAAATCGGTTGAACAAATTTTAAAATTAAATATTAACTATAGTAACCAGGTCAAGTAAACAAAAGGTCATTGGTTTTGACATACAGGATTGCTAACTTTTAGTGATATCATCTAGGTTAGGCTAATAATTAAAGTTGTTGAGTCTAGGTCCTAGGTAATCGTGGATCCTATGTATAAGTCTTGTTACATCGCGGTCGTTCTGAGCCGTCAGTCGCTCTCTCATGTCTGGTTTTCTTTTCAGCCACGTTTACTTGCTGTGTGGCCGGGGAGGAGCCCCGCATGGATCAGTTCGTGTATTGGCTCCTAAGTGCTTATGCTTCGTGTTGTTATTCTTGCGTCTGCTGACTCAGCTCTAGTTTGCTTTAGCCGACTCACAAGAACCTTTCTAAACTAATAGAACCCAATCATCGAGGGTTCTGTCTGCCTCGTACCGACTCGTAAGCCGCATCAGGACTAACCAATAATGACCTGGTGCTGGTAAGCCGGACCATAAACCATACCGTACCGTGTACCATAGCGAAAGTCAGGGAGAAACTCGCTAAGTCTGGGAGCGACGTGTAAGCCGCATTCGAAGTTAGCGATCACAACCTGGTCTGGGGCTAATCAGTAAACCAAGCTTAGGTTAAAACGATGGTATCATTGAATAGCCCTACCGTTTTTTTTTTAATCATGGTCAAAGCTCACAATTAAGCAGGAAAACCAATAATGGTCCCAAGCTATTCTCTGTAATACCCAATACAGAGGTCACACTGGGAAGACTAGGTATGAAATTTTTGAAGGACTCTAGTTGCCGGCCACTTAGATATCTATGATAAAGAGCACAATAAAGAGACCAATTGGAAATCCTGTTTTCTCAACTTTTCGTATCAACAGAAAGTAATTTACGGTGTCAAACTCCTTACTGCAGTGAAAACTTGATTTGCGCTTCAAAAATCTATCATTGACAAAAAGCTATAACCGAACCAGTTATATTTCGTTCAAGTAGCCTGAAAATTCAATGTGCTTTTATATTGAGGAAAAAACGCGAAACTTGTGAATTGTAGTGGTTTTATTCTTTGGACGAGATTTTTAGCGAAACGAAAACGAAAGTTACGACGATGCGTACGAAAAGGAGTTCGATTTTGGATTAACTTTAATTTCATACAAATTCTTTATATGCTAAGACAAAAGTAATAAGCGGAAGAGTGGCGGCCGAATTCGCCTAAGCGAAAAAGCTTTATTAAGGCTCCCCGCATTACACTCAAACAAGCGAAACCACCAAACACCGCCCCCCTGAAGTGTCGACGTCCTTCAGGACAACAGCGGTAGGAGAGCCAGACGATGGATCGCTCGCCTAAACGTCCCCTCTGTCGTCTTGACGTCCGCCACTCTGACCATCCCGTCAGCGCCGACGTGCACCGCCACTACGCGCCCGATCCTCCACTGCTGGGGCGGCAGATTGTCCTCGCCGACGACGTCGAGCGCTCCCACGTCGACGTTTCGGACGTCCTGGTTCCACTTTGGTCTCATCTGCAGGCTGGAGACGTACTCCCGGGACCATCGCTGCCAGAACCTGTGCCTGAGCGACGAGACACTGCGCCATCTTCGCAAGTAGGTCGGGCTGATCTGGTCGGAGAGTGCCGACGTTGGTGGAGCTACCAGCGGGCCTCCGATCAGGAGATGCTCGGAGGTTATGGCTTCGCCGTTTCTGAGGCCGCTGCTTAGCGCTCCAATGGGCCTCGAATTCAGCACCGCCTTCACGCTGGCGAGGAGAGTTCCGAGCTCCTCCGCGGTCAAGACGTCGTGACCGACCGTCCAAAGGAACAGGTGCTTTGCAGACTTCACACCTGCTTCCCATATACCGCCGAAGTGAGGTGCTCTGGGCGGTATGAACGCAAGCTCGCATCCCGGAAATCTCTCAGGTGCCGATCCGCGCCGACGAAATTGGTCCCGATGTCGCACCACACCCCCTACGGAATCCCGCGACGACTCACGAACCTTTGAAAAGCCAATAAAAATGCATCAGTGGTAAGAGTTGCGGCTTGCATCGAAAGCAGCGCATGCACGAACGAACGGTTCGGCGACATAAGTCTTGAGCATTGACTAACCAGACTTTCTCTCGCAGAAGACTCACAAGAGCTCGATGACCAGCGTGACAATTCGTAATGTGCAGATATGACACGTAAGTTTTAACGAACTGTGAGCTTTTCGTTGGCAACAACGGAAATTTGGCTTCGTACGGGATAGGAGCATTCAATAACCGACCACCAACTCGCAATAATTTCGAAAAGCACCAATCTAATTTATTTTCCTGCACAAAGGGATTCAGCTTTTGAATCTGCGTTGATACCGGTTTCTTTTTCGAATTTTGCCTATGTCGTCACTGAATTCGTGAGATTGGATAACTTCTACAATTTTCTCGAACGCAAGTTCAGTTCTCTTGGCGTAATGCTTTTTTCGAAAGGCTGTAAAACTTTCTTATACCTTCTATTAAATCGGAAAACCCACACGAAAACTCTCAGCAGCTTCAGGTGCGAGGAAAAGGACTTTATTTTCTGAAGCAAGTAGTTGGGCTCTGGTGTTACAAGAAGAGTTAACGCCGACTTGCGTAACTCTCTCGACACGACTTCTGACGGCAGTTCGAAGTGTTGATTTACCGGCCAATTAATTTCTTTGTCGCGTAAAAATGTCGGTCCAGCGAACCAAATGGACGTTAAGAGATCTTCAACGTCACATCTTTGAGACACCATACCCACTGGGTTAACTTTCGTGGGGACGTGTCGCCAAATTGCATTCTCCGACCACTCTTCGATCTCAGCTACTCAGTTTGAAATGAAACCTGACAACGACGAAGGCTGAGTTTTAATCCAATGCAAAGTGATCTCGAAGTCGGTCCATAGGACCACTTTTCTAATAGGGCAATTCAGTAATGGCCTTACACGATTAAGAAAGCAAAGTTTTCGTCTTGAGGGAAGCTACTTTAGATTTGGCCGTCAGTAACGACACTTTTAAACCTTCAGCAGTTTTTTCAATCGAGACTTGCGGATCTGTGTGAACGAATCGCGGTACCTTAACTTTGGGCAGTTGCAGCAGAGTTGCTTTAAAGACTTCCCACGACGTTTGTAGCTGCATCGGTAGCGACTCGTCCCAATCTAATTTTCGAAGCCACAGCTCCTATAAAAGCATCTTTCCCTTTGTGACCAAAGGACACAACAGGCCCAGTGGATCGAAAAGTCTCGCAGTCACGGAGAGTATGTTTAGTTTTGTTGGACGAAAATCCAGGAAAGAGTCATCCAACCGAAATTGGAAGTAATCTTTACCAGGTAATCAAACCACTCCAAGGGTTTTAGTTACATCTGAGTCAGCCAATAATAGCATGATAGCGCTGTCAGATGCGGAGATCTCTGTGCAGTTTGAAAACCACTTTGCCAATTCGAAACCTGCCTCTTGCAAAACCTGAGAAACTTCATCACGAAGGCTTTGCTGGTTCTCAACGCATCCGGCGCCTGTCAACAAATCGTCAACATAAAAATCGTTCTGAATGACCTTTGCGGCATTTGGATAATTAGCTTGCGCCATCTCTCCAAGCCGCATTAAACACCGGATTGCCAGGAAGGGTGCTGGCGATGTTCCATATGTCACGGTATTTAACTTGAAGATCTTCAGAGACTCAGAGGGATCTCGTCTCCACACTATGAGCTGATAGACTTGGCGATACGGCCCTCTACACACATCCTCTATTTTAATTTGTAGTCTCTGAGCGAGCTCGTCGGTCACCAAGTTTATTTGTGAACCAGAGTCAAGCAACGCTCGAGCCACCACGAATTCAACACTTTTTGATAATACGCTCACGATAGCTGTGGCAAGAATGACTCTATCCGATGCAGTCGCATGCAAAACATGTGAAGTGGATGGAGTCTCTTGCATGAGCGTGGGCTGAGGAGGAGGCGGCAACGCGAGATTTGTGTTGGGCGAGTATATGTGCAGCAATGTGTGGTGTGAAGATTTGCACACCCTGCACCGGTTCGATCTGCATTTTTTAATGGTGTGACCTTTGCATAAGGGCACTTTTTTGACAAAATCGAACCTCTGCTGTACAGTTAGGGCTGCGAAAGAAGCGCAGTTTCCTATTTAATGCTCTGCTGATGTGCAAAACACATATAGGGAAGGGTCGTCCCTGGCAGCGATCAACGAAAAACTTTTATTTCCACTCTTCTTCGGAAAAGTCTGGCTTGGCTGGACTTTTTTCGGCTTGGAAGCCTCTTCGGCGACCATGTGCTCGTATCGCCTGTCCAGAGCCGACTCACATTCGCTCCAAAGCGGAAGCGATGTATAGTTTGTTCTTCCCACTTTCTCTTTGTTCCTACATTGACTTTGCTCATTATTAAATGAATGAAATAATTCGTTTGTCATATCCAATAGACAGCAAAGAGTCATAAAGAGCTCTGAGTGTGTCGATCAGGTTTCTCAAGGCTGTGGCTGATGGCTGCGACATTTTTGGCGGCTAAATGATAGAGTTATCCGATTTTGATCAAATTTAATCCGAAATTCAATAACAGATAGAAAACGCCATCTTGAAGAAATCAAGTCGATCTTATCAAAAACAACGGCGTGAGAATTTTGTATTTCATTTTCTCGTATGGGAGCTATCCGATATAGTCGGCCGATCCGACTTATGTATATACTGCGTGCAATAACTACACAGCTTTTTGGAAAGTTTCAGCAAGATAGCTTTAAAATTGAGAGACTAGTTTGAAGAGAAACGGACATGAGGACAGACGTACAGACGTATTTCGATTCAGATGGTGATGCTGATCAAGAATATGTACTTTTTGGGGTCTGAGGTGTCTCCTCCACTGCGTTGCAAACTTCTGACTAAAATTATAATACCCTTTTGCTCTGCAAGGGTATAAAGATAAACGAGTGGTATATGCCGAACGTATGCACTGAAGGGGATTTGTCGAATAGTTTGAAAGAAGTCGTTAAGTATAGTAGTAATTAATTTATTAATTCTTACAGAATTAATAAACCGACCTCACACGCTCAGCGCAAATAACGAAAACGCAGCTATAACACAACAACAACGCTTGTTGTTGCGACCGAAAACGAAAAGGGCGATAGAGAGTGCGTGTGTATGTATGTACGTATGTATGTATTTAACTGGCGGCTCACTCTTTGGTAAATGCTGACACTAGCGGAAAATGATGCACTGGCCGATATCTAAGGGCAACGAATATATAAGCGGGATGCGCAGAAGCGCGGGAAATGGCGCTTAGGCTTGGGAAAATGTCGGAAAAGCGCGGCCAATTTGGGAATGAAAATGCGCGCACAACTTTATCCCGCGATTTTCTTTGCACAATAAGTTAAATGGATGCACTGCTTAAATTACTTTTTTCGGCCTTAATTTTCAACCCTAAATTGGTGCTCACTTCTACGAAATTGGGGGAATTAATTTGCACTCATTGGGTCAACGAATTTTTTGGTTAGAATGCTCACTAGCTACCGATTTTTTTTACACGAATGCAAAAAGTTGAAAGATTGACCGAACTCAATTTTACAAAACGCCACATAATAACTTTCAACTTTTTACACTCTATACCTGGTTGGCCGATTCGGTCTGATCAGCTAAATGTTATAATAGTCCGACTGTTATGTAAATAATATTTTAATATCTATTTTTTGTAACGAGTTGCTTAATTTATCAAAGTAAATAAAAGAGTAACGACAGAGCAGCTTAAACCATTTCTCCATTATTTTTTTTATAAAATTTTCGATTATCTTATCTTATTTCTAAAACCATGTCTGTATAATAATAAAGAACAATATAATATTTTGTTCCATTAATCTTATATTGATTTTTCGATCTTTTTTTATAGCAGCGATACGATGGAGGAGTACGATTTTAATGAATTTTGTTTTTTTAATTTTTTCTCTGGCAGTCGTCCAATTTTCATGAAATTTTTTTCCGAATTCAAAGGATGTCGGAAAAAACATGCCAGGAATAATTATTGTATAATTTAAAAAAAAACATTGCGCTGTACTTTTTTCAATTATCCTGGCAGTTCGATTTACATATGTTACCTGCAATAACTACATATACAATTGTTGGTAGTTACAGAGAGAAATCTGTAAAACTGAGAGAGAAGACTGCGTAGAAATAGATAGACGGTCAGGCGAATATATGTACAGTTCGGCAAGCCGAAGCTTATACACCCTTGCAGTCATTAAATATGTCGAACAAAATACATAAAGGCTAAACAACATCGAAACTATAACGATTTTTCTATTCATTTTCCAAATTGTTCATATAACAGTTATATGATATATGATATAGTCGTCGGATTTTTATGAAATTTAATTTAAAACTCAAGACTCATTAGAAAACTCTATGTTCCAAAAATCATGATTGTCTGACAAAAAACAACGAGGTAATAATTTTATTTCCGTTATTTCTATATAGATTTTTCGATCTTTCTATGGCAGCTATATGATATAGTACTCTGATTTTTATGAAATTTTTTTTCTCGATTTAACATAACGGCACGATTTTAGTTTCCGGGGCGCCAAGATTTGAGGACATATTTTGGGTAATTGGCCCAAAATAAATACTTTTTAATAAACAAAATTTTTTGATATCTCGCACCGTTTACGAGATATCGAGCCTTAAATATCGGCTTATAGTGCGGCCGTTACACTGGGAAAAATTTTTTTTTAAAGAAATTATCTCAAAAATAAATATATAAATAATCTCAAAATAAGTGCGCGCACTTATGCATTGATACATATGCTATATTATTTTTTGAGGTAATTGTTATAAAAAAACTAAGCTAAAAACTGAAAATTGGCCAAAATTTTATTTTTATAAAAATTATCTCAAAAAAAGAATATAGCATATGTATCAATGCATAAGTGCGCGCGCTAAAAACTGAACAAATAAATTTAAGTGTTCGTCTTCGACCGAAAGTACCGCAAATCTTGAAAGTTCCACGAAAAATATGTGCAATAAGTAATTTCGCCTGCTACCAGCCCTCACTATAATCCGAAATTTAGGGCTCGATATCTCGTAAACGGTGCGAGAAATCGAAAAATTTTATTTAGTAAAAAGTGTTTATTTTGGGCCAATTACCCAAAATATGTCCTCAAATCTTGGCGCCCCGGAAACTAAAATCTCCCCAACATAACGATAAAACTTGATGTTCAACAAATCTTTTGCTCGTTTTTTTATCTCTCCTATGGCAGCTATATGACAAAGCTATCCGATTTTGATCAAATTTAATCCGAAATTCAATAGCAGTTAGGAAACGCCATCTGGAAGAAATAAAATCGATCTGATCAAAAACAGCGGCCTAAGAATTTTTTATTTCAATATAGTCGGCCGGCTCGTTCCGACTTTGTATATACTGCGTGCAATAACTACACACCTTTTGGGAAAGTTTCAGCAAGATAGCTTTAAAACTGAGAGACTAGTTTGAAGAGAAACGGACAGACGGATAGACGTACATACGTATTTGGATTCTGATCGTGATGCTGATCAAGAATATATACATATACATACTTTATGGGGTCTGAGGTGTCTCCTTCACTGCGTTGCAAACTTCTGACTGAAATTATAATACCCTTTGCTCTGCAAGGGTATAAAAATATGTACATATGTATGTAAATATTCTAACTCTTTTAGTTTCCGAGATCTCAACGTTCATACACAGATGGATAAGTCTGTTAATCTTCATAAAATATGCACATATGTATGTATGTGTATATACTTTAGGATCGCAAAAGCTTCCTTTGACCTGCTACACACATTTGAAAAATACAGTACATCTCCTACTTTAAGATTTATACCGCTTAACCAAAAAAAAAATGGGCTTCCGTTGCATATGTTTGAAAAATGTTTTTATTGAACTTGTAAGATTACAATATATGTAAATTATTTGGAATCTACGAATCTACGAAAGTAGTGTAGAAATATATTTAATGGACGGAGGTTACACAGCTGTTACTTCTTTTTCTTCAGCTTTTAAGTTCTAGATGTCTGTTTGAACTTTTTCTTGAGCGGAGACATTCGGTGCACCACTTCGTTGGGTGCGTCGTGGACGGCTCGACTCAGCTTCATTGTAAGGTTGGTATTGGGAAGAAGCAGGCGGGTTAGCCACGGGGTGTGTCTGGTTTTGAAAAAGTCATCTCCATATTCACTTATATCCCGATTGCCGATTTCATTTAACCGCTTGTACCTTTCGCGACGTGCCTCTATCATATATAGCACACCAGCCGGCATTAACAGTACAGCACCAACCACACCCAATGCAAATGACCAACCCATATCGTTGTTCTGCCATCCAGGCATCCAATCTCGGGAATCTCCCTTGACTCCGAATATAAGAACGGCAATAAATCCAAAAACTGACCCTGCGACCTGGCAGGATCCGATAGCTACCAGCAGCACAATGTATCGGTCATCATCGCGGGAAGTTCGTAGGAATCCTACCGTGAGTGGAACAGCAATGAGGCACATAACAAAGCAAAGTGTCGCAAAGAGTTGCACAGATATATAAAAACCAGGTAAAAGAAAATCGTGAATAATGTAATATTCCTCTTCAAAAACCCACATGCAACCGTTAAATGGGTTGTCAAAAAACCTGCGTATGTCATGGAAGTTGTTGAAACAAACTTCCCATAAGCCAAGGTTTTTAAATCGTGGATTTTGTAAATGCCCGTCTGTTACCAACCAATACGGAGTCGAAAACGCGATAATAAAAAGGGTAACGGAAAAAACAGACACGCAGAGAGCAACTTGCGTGCTGTAATTGGATGGAACCATATTTCAGTGCGTTGAATTATGGGTTGAAACTATAGAAAACTGTTTCCAAACACGCCCAAAGGTGTGGCCGTTCTTTTGTAATCGATTTTTAAAGTGTTAACGTGCGCCAAGATATCGTCGATTTACCTTAAATAAGGAAAGTTGAGATATGGTCCATGGAAATTTCACTGCAAACAGCAAACGAGTTAATAGCCTTGTTACACTATATTGGAACAAGTACCAAGTTACACCAAAATAGCGTCAAAACTGCCATAATTCACTCAATGTTCCCTCTTCATTAGTCGGAAACGTCTGTATGGCCACATGTGACGACCCAAAGTCTCCAAGACAATAGGTTTTTAAATAATATAATCATGAAAATACATAAATTTTTTATTAAACTTTTTTCCTCCTCATAGTATTCCGCGGATTTGTGTTTTGGTAGAATAACTGTAAGTTTTTATTTTCTCAGTAATGAACCTACAACGATTGGAATAAAGCGCACGATTTTAGTTACATGGGCGCCAAGATTTGAGGACATGTTATTGTTAATTACCCCAAAATAAACATTTAATAAGAATAAAATGTTTCGATATTTCGCACCGTATCGAGCTTTAAATGTGGGATTGTAGCGCACGCGTTAGGCTTCGGCCACGCATTGAGCGGTGAGCGACCGAGCGACGCTCTCTCGAGCGACGTAAAATATTAAAGCTTATGAAAATGCATTGGAGTGGCCACGCAGCCGCTGAGCGACGAGCGAAGTTCTTGAGCGTCAGAGCGACGTCGCTCAGCGCTAGAATTGGTTTTAATTTTTAGTGCATCGCTGAGCGACGAAATGCAAACAATGCAAAAAATATGCGCGGAAACTTTAATTTCGGCTGTTTAAAGCCGAACCGTTTTATGGAACGACACTCGTAAAGTGTACGAAAATAAAAATACATAAAAGTATATAAATAAAATAAAAATAAAATCAATCGATTAATGGGATGAACGCCAACCTACGAACCTACGCCTTTGCATTCTTTTTAATTGCCTATATTTACTATAACGGCTTTCAAGCAGATTTCGTAGAACCTCTCTAGATTAAGGCATTTTTAAAATTTTTACAACTAATCATCTCGAGTGATGTCGCTCAGTGCGTGGCCACCTCACTCAAAGCGATCGCTCATTAACGTCGCTCGAGAGAGCGTCGCTAAGTCGCTCAGTCGCTTATCGCTCAATGCGTGGCCGAAGCCTAACACGTCACGGCGGGCGGGTATCGGGTGGAAAATTGAATTTAAGGCAGGTTCTCACCTTGTAGGGCCGAATACGGTTAAAGATAAAAAGCTGAAATTTTCAACTTTATTTGAAAACATATTTATTTTGCGAAAAAATTTTGATATTGAGAAAATCAAAAAGCGTTGCTCAGTGGCGGCATGTCGGCGAAAAGGTGTCCCGCTTACGGAAGTGATTCAGCCAAAACGGGTAATCGGAAACACAAAAACCAAAAAGATTCTTAAAGTGTACAGTACTGTGCATAAAATGAACTAGGATCAGAAAAAAAATAAAAATTGCAAAAGTTATTAGCTTTTGAAAAAAATTACGATTTTCGTGTTTTTTTCTTACTAATTATTTTCTCAAATAAACAGTTTTCAATATTTTTGGATAATCCTAGTTTATTAGTTAAAGGAAACAATTAGGAACATTAAAAAAAAATTTGATGACGATTTTTTAACCCCAACGCCTTCAATTATGTACTTCCGTAAGGTACGTACACGGGGTTCCGAGATAAACGCGTTTAAAGTTTTGGCTTCAAAAGACCATTACTTAACATGTGCTCCATGTAAAGGCCTTTAACTCTTGTAATTTTTCAAATTTTGATCTGAAATTTTTTTAACACATTTGGCACAAAAAAAAAAGGATGAAATCGCCTCAAGGTGAGAACCTGCCTTGACTCAAAATTTGTACACAATGTTATCGACATATTGGTCTTAAAAAAAAAAAAATAATGAAAAAAATTGTTAAGTCCTTACCCCCCTTAAAAAATAAGGAAAAGCTTATAAAAGATGTGCGCAACTGCGAGGTCCCAAACATTATTTTATAGAAAAATTTGGCTCCCCAAACGAAAAGCCGTATCTCCACTGACGGACAGTATAGCAAGATAAGCTAAATAAGATCAGCCGAAAGTATGTTTTTTTTTTTTACTTTATATGTAAATATATGAAAGTTTTATTAACCCTCTACCGCATACAAAGCCATATATGGCTTCTCACTTTCAATAATTTTTTTTTGCAATAAAACGGTACATATACTAAACCGTTTGTTATCACCAGGGCTAACAGAGTTATGTTCTTAAAAACGTAAAAATATGTATGGATTTATGGACGAAAAAATAGAGAAATATGAACGAAATATGGACGAAAAAGTTGACAAATGTGGAATAAAATAGATAAATTTGGATAAATATAGGTAGTATAGACGAAAAAAGGGATAAATATAGGTATAACAATGGATAAACGTAGACGATTATATCGATCATATTAACTTTTTTTGACAATGAACAATTAGAAATCGCTACAAACAAAAGTGCGCCGTTTGTCTCAAAGATCATTGCAGAACAATATGACATGTTGTGTCAGATTAGTAAAAACAAAACTACGGCGTTTGTCACTCAATATGTGTTTATATGATGAAAATGAACGCTCAACATCGCAAGATGTAACAGGAGCATTTGCATATGCATTCAGTTCAGCAGGTGATAAGTTCAGGATAAGATCGTCACCTTCTGTAGAACTATCAATGAGATTTCCTGCAAACATTCGCGACATGTCCTGAAGAATTCGCAGATTCATAATTGTTACATTCGATGATACATATTTTGATTGATTAACGACGCAAAGATGTTTTGTTTACATTATTTATTATCGAGTATAAGGCAAACGACAGAAATTTCATAATATTTGAGCCAAACATATCTTTTTATAGGTTTTCAGACACTTTAATGCTCAAAATATGGATTTATTCAAGTAATTGTGTAAAATATGGATTTATAGGAAAAAAAGGCGAAAATATGGAAATAAATATTTTTTCATTTAAAAACATAACTCTGTTAGCCCTGGTTATCACTAATTCTCTTTCAACTATTTTCTGTAAGATCCCTGCAGTTCCAAAAGTGGCTTGTCGTCGATGACATGGACGTCGACCCACCGATGCCAGTGTCCGTAGCACCTGGTGTCGCACTGATGTCATTTCATATAAAGTTGTTGTATGGCATTTAAGGATTTGACATGCATGTCGCTCTCGATGACCATTTTGTCCGAGTCATCGAGCGAGGCATCGATGGCTTATACGAATTTTGTATAGAGAAAATTCGTATAAGACATCGATGATATCGTAGATGGCGTGGAGGCGATGTTGTCATCGATGGCATTTACGAGAGTGCCCTTAGTGAAATCATCTATGTCAAGCCTAAAAATGTCATCCCCAAATTCATATGAAAAACAATATATATAAATTTATTTATTTTTTATTTTATTAATAATACTTTTTTTTTTAACATAAGAAATAAGTACATAAATAATATAAAAGTGGAATGTTTTTGTTTACCATTTATGTGGAGTATTTGCAGGACATCGGCTGTTTTGCGTCCATCTGTGGTACAAAAATTTTTTTTATTATTACATATTATATATGTATTACTTTTTTTTAATTTAAAGCAAACTTACCTTTCAAACGAATTTATTGGACGTATGTATGGCTGATTCCTAAAAAGATTTTAATACGTTTGTAGTAAAAAAAACATAATATTTTTGTAATGTTAACGACACTTACATGATTTTTAAACATTTCCGCTGCCCGTTGCACAAATTTAGTAATTTCACAACCAATCGTCAACGCACCATGCAAAATAATGACGCAGGTCAATTTCATTTTTCACCCTTTTCTCCGTTTTTTTTCGTTTTAGTATACCCTTCTTTTTTGGGTTATAGCCGACCATAAATGACACGCGAGTTATAATACATATATCTATATTTGTAATCAATGTTGTGTCATGGTTACCTTGGTTCAATAATTTAAATACTATTGTATATATAAAGTGTATTATATATATAACTTTATATATATATATTATATTTAATATATGAAGAACTTTAACATCAAAAGAGTATACAAAGATCGAGCGCTCATCAGCCGTATTTTCCATCGAAACCCAAATTTTTGTTTCTAACGGAGAATGACAACAGTGCAATAAGAAAAACGAAGACAAATTTGGAGTCGGGCCGCCGTCGTTTGCAAGCAACGATTTGTATTATAAGAGTGAGAAAGAGAGGGAATCTTAGGAATATCCCTTTTCCTTTCCTACACATTGATTGCTTGAATGCCACGAGACACCAGGTGACAGCCAGAACTGCAGGGATGTCTATACTCAGAACTTCTTTGTGTTGCCTTATCTCAAGTTTCGATCAGTTTTGTGCTCGCGCCTCAAGCAGACGAACGAAAGTGAATTGCGGTGAAATTAAAATAAAAATTACTACACTAAAAATCAGTTTTATCACTGAAAAGTATTTTTTTTCTAAGAGAATATAAAGTTTTCGTTCATAAAAAATAGAATTTGACTATAGGTGAGCATCACATATACTATTCTATGCAAAAAACTGTGGACGCCATATATGGCTCTATATGCAGTAACGCGTGCATGTTTATATTCTATGTACATAGGTATGCATTCTTAGCATATTAGCTTACGTGGGAAGCAATCCTGTTACAACAAAAAAACGATTCAGTAAGAAAGACAAAAAGTATGTAGAAATCAACTCTCCTAAGGCAGTTGATGTTTACAATAATTATACGGGTGGCGTTGACTTACTGGATTCTTTACTTGGACTTTATAGAATTCAATTGCGCTCAAGAAAATGGTATAAGAAAATATTTTTTCACATGATTGATATGTGCGTAGTGAACAAGAAGTAACCCTGCAGTTCTGGCTGTCACCTGGTGTCTTTTGGCATACAAGCAATCAATGTGTAGGAAAGGAAAAGGGATATTCCTAAGTTTCCCCCCTCTTTCTCACTCTTCGAATACGATCTCGTTGCTTCCACCCGACGGCGGCCCGACTCCAAAT